TCCTGGTCTGTCCTTCCTAAAAAGCCTGTCCTCATCTACTGCAGCACTTCAGTCATGCAAGCTATCCCACCATATCTCTGTGATCCCAATGAGGTCACAGCCCTGTAACTGCACACAGCCTTCTAATTCCTCCTGTTTGTTCCCCATGCATCATGCCATAGCATACAGGTGCTTCAGAGAGTCACCCACTTGTGCTGATTTCCCAGAAAATATATGAAAACTTCCCCCTGTAATGCTGTCCTCTCAGCACTTCCTTATTTATGTGCATACACTTGGGGTGAGTCTGCTTTAGCCCTATCTTGTTTTCAAGATCTCTTTTGTCCACATTACCCTTCACCCTTTGCTTGCCAACTCAGTCCACCTTCCTCCCTTGACTGTGGGTTTTCATCTCCTTCACCCATCGTTCCTAATTTAAAGCTCTCCTTACCAGGTTAGCCAGCCTGTCTGCAAAGATATTTTGCCCCAGTTATGCAGGTGGATCCTGTCTCTTCCTAGGAGTTGATCCTCAAAGAGGGTCCCACTTGTCTTAAAACCCAAATCCCCATTGTCAACACCAGGGTCAACACTCAGGTTGCTTGGGTGCTTCACTAGACACAGCAGGGCTCCCAGCCCATCTGCAACCAGGGCACTGAACCTATTCTGTAGTTGCAGATCTGCAGGTGGAGCAGAAGCCTTCCTCCTAGTGCCAGTAGTTGCAAGCTTCTGCTCTACACCATCGTGGGACTCCATTTCCCAACCCAATAAGCAGAGACTCTGACTGCCCCTCCTTTGGTACGTTTGGGGGTTCAGGCTCTTGTATCTGAGATACCTTGTGTTATGTCTCAGGGAAAATCCACTCAATCTCTTTTTTGTCATCTCTGATACTGCACAATCTGCTGACCTCCTCATGCTGCTCCTTTACATGGTGACACAGACCCTCCACCAGTGCATACCTCCTGCAGGCTAAAAGACTATGTCCCACTGCCCCAGCCTTGGCAAGAGGCCCTGTCATCCCTGCAATCCCAAGCCTGCAGAGCTTCATACTCCCTTGGGAGCTTAGTCTGGGTTGAGACCTGTGATGTGCCAGGGGTAGTTGTTCCAGTTGCTGCTGGGGACTGTGCCCTGTGGAGTGTCACCACCACTGCAGAAGCCACGCACACTAACCTTAGCAGGGTTTCTGGACCTCTTCTGTGCATAGTGCTGCACAAACTGCTGCATCTGTTTGCTGCCTCTGTTAGCTGTGCTCACAGAAACTGAAGTGTGAAAGTGATGGTGCTGTACAAACACATGGAGGCAGGGAGTATAGGAAGAACTTAGCATAGGAAGACTCATTCACATTTGGTTTAGAGACCTTTAAAATTATTTATAATTAGTTTTAGGGACTTTTGAAATTGGCTATAGGGACAATCTGCCCCCATTATATTTTCCCTTAATCTTCTTCATAACTTTTTCCTGACAAGACTAACATTTATAAGTACATCTAGTGTTTTCAGCTGTAGTGCTTTTCCAGTGTTTCACCGGGGAATGTCTTATCTCCATTTTATAAAGAAGGAACTGGGCTTCTTCAGAGAGAATAAGTAATATGACAGAGGTCATAAAACCTTGTTTTGCCCATAAGCTATCAGTGGCCCGTAAGTGATTCTTGTTTCCTTCATGTTGACATCTTTACTGTGTTAGTTGTGTTCAGATGTTTGCTACTTACTGGATGACTGAAAATGTGAAAACTGTGTCCTTCAGAGGAGCAAGGATCAATTAATTGTGTAAAGCAATAATGCAGTATCCATTGCTGTCTTTACCCTATAGGAGAACAAGCATTCATGAGTGGTAAAAATTCTTTATGGAGACTTCTTGTGAAATTGGATATAGATCTTCAAAGGGCAGTCCACTAAATGATAATGACCATAATGGTGCTAAGTTCCTAATATTAACACAGGGACTGAGGGAACAACTGCTGAACTCTGGTCTCCACAGCAGGAAGCCAAGGTGGAAGGGATCTGCATATAAAAATATCAGTGGGGGTCACCTTTCTCTCTCAGACTTGCTTTGTTCTCTTGACATATATCTCCTCCTTTTTTAGAGCCAAAAATGATCAAGTTTAGTTGTAAATGCAAATAGGAGTACTGAAAACGCTAATTGTCCTCACATTGGATCCATTAATCTATGAACTTTCAGCTGAAGTACCTATCCTTAGTGTGTTGTAAAGGAAGACTCTTGCTTAGACTAAGCAAGCCACAGAAAGACAGACATCCTTAGAAGAAATCTGTGAAATAAAATGTCTCTGAGAAGCATTAGAGTGGTAATTACCCAAGACACTTGTATATCAGTGTTTATCAGTAGAGGGCTGAAAAAACAAGCATCAATTATGTCACGCTCTTTGCAATATTTGACTAAGTGTGTCTGTTCCAACATGGCAAAATAAATGAATTTTACAGCTGCTTCAAGCGAAGGGGGAAGGGGAGGCAGGAGGAAGAACCGCAGCTGCACTTGCCCTAGGGCCTTTGGCTTTTTGGCTTTGTGTGAGTGGTGCAACTGGAATCTGCTCTGTTTCATCAAACAAATGGCTCCCAGCAAGTAGGCAGTTTAACTTGATTAACTCAAGATGAATGTCACAAGTCTTAGAGATCACAGAGGATTAGAGCTGGGGAGATGAACAGTGGCAGCCCTGGCTCATTATGGACGTCAGTGAAAGTCTGTGCACGTGGGTCCTATGAGGGACCTCTGTTTATTGGGTATTTTTTAATCTGTTTATTGTTTTCCTGTGAAGAACCAAGTCCCATCCCATTTTTTTCTGATTTGTGAAGGAAGATGTTTGCTACAAGTGTTCTAAAACTTTGTTACAGGAAAGAAAGAGATCTTGACCAGGTATAAGAGATACAGCTAAAAATGTTCACAGTGGCTTGTCTTTGGACACCTAATTTGAGCAGGTTTGGACCTAGTGACCAGTAAAAGTGAAATCTTGCACATACCAGGTACAGGGCTAGTTTAGACAGTGGAAAATTGTAGTGGATAGGAGCTGTTCTCATATGAAAGAGATAGGGGCACCTGAAACACTATATATGGTATACTACAGCAGAGAAAGTGATATCTGATTCATTGTGTATACAAGAGTTAAGACAGTTTCCCCTTAGCATGGAGCATGTCCCTTAAAGAAGAGCTGGTTGTTGGCATGAAGAAGGTTAGAAGAGGAAATAAAAGGGATATTTGCAGCATGCAGAACAGTGCGGTACAGTGATCCCTGAGTTAGCTCCAGAACCAGAAACCTTATCACAGACTGGGAGAGAGGGGAGTGTGAAAGGTAAAATTCATCAGAGGCGGGAATATGGAACAAAACAGTAAGGAAACACTGAGCTCAGGCAAGAGAGAATGTATGGTCTTACCATCCTCCAGTTGTAACAGAAGAACTCCAGCATTAAAAAAAAGAAAACAAAACAGCATGAGAAAAGGCTAGGCTTCAATAACTCAGCAGCCTCTGGATTTCCAGCCAAGGAAAGGTCTTATACACATTCTGCTGAATTGTTCCTTATAGTCCACCTAATCCTCCAGAAGCACTTTTTTCCTAAAATTTGCCTTTTATCTTGAATGTGAAAGCTGTTTTTGCCAAACATATCATATCACATTATTTCCACTGAACATTGCAGTGGGGCAGTACATTTCCTGTTTTCAAATTTTATTAGATTGGAGTTGTGGAGCACTATCAAGTATCTCACAGATCCTAAAATTGCTTAGATGTTGCATAGGATAATTCTAAATATTGCTGCTGCAAGACAATCGGCTACAATTTGTGCCATTATTGTGTTGTTCTCTTATATTAGTACATATAAAGTGGAACTGTACATAAATCACAACTTGTTATACGGAGATGATAGTTTAATTTTCTACAGAAGGTATTGGATACTGGAATGGATTGTTTCATTTTGTGGTGAGGAGCTGTTTGGCCAGATTCAGTGCCTGAATTTTAGCAAGTGTGGGCAAGAGAGTTCTGTGGACCTCTGCTGCACTGAAGACACTCTTGCTAAGTCAGCCGCATGACAGAGATGAAAGAACAAAATACCGGAGAGTCCCTGAAAGCAGAGGCTCAAGAACAGTGCCCTTCACAGAAACTCATGCTGCCACTGCCCATGCAATTCTTGTCTTCTGGCAGACAAATGGAGAACTCTGATTTTGGAACTGTTGGGAGGTGGGGGCAAGAACTAATTTATTTCTAATTTGAGTAAAAAATAGATAAAAAACTGAGAAAAAACAAGGTAAGCTTTTCTAAAAAATGGGATTCTGTGTTACAGCCAGGTAGTTGAGAACTGTTGACTGGTCCCAACCTCTAATCTTTTCTGATTTTGTGACAATTTGTTTCTGCTTCCTGCATTAGTTAAAAATGACTATTTTTACCTTAATACAGGTGACTCACTGGCACAGTCCGTACTTTTTTGCCTACTTCCCTGCAGCCTCTTCCTTCCCAGCTCTTCTTGCAGATATGTTGTGTGGTGGAATAGGATGTGTGGGCTTCTCTTGGGTAAGTTTACTGGGATATGTACTGCTATGTGGTAATGGTGCTTCACCTTGCCAAAATGTTAAGCATTTCAGTAACATTCTTCAATGAAATTATTGATTAATAGCAGCAAAGTCACAGGACTATTTTTATAGGTAAATTTCCTTGACTATTTAAGTGTTTTCACATAAACACCCTGAATGACTCCAGGAATAAAAGGCTATTTTCTCTTAGAAGTTTTGCCCTTGAAAAATCGCCAGCATTTAGAATTAGTGGTAGCAGTGCAAACTTACTGGTAATTCATTAAATAGTATGACTGTTGCCTATCACCTGGTGGTGTTACTTCTATTATCATCTGGATGAATGGAAAATTGTGTTAAAAAAAACCCACATTCGTATGAGATGGGCTCTTCTCTAAAGAGGTTAGGACTTGATGTTGAAAAAAAATATGCAAGATGCAAATTCTAGCTTTGACATTTGATATTCATGGTTCTATGTGAGGCCCAGTTTGACCTTTTTTTAGGAAGTATTAGAAACAACGTGCACAAAATGGTCTTCAGGTCCTGAATTTAGCTGGTGAAGGTAGTCAGCTAGTCTCTTCCTCTGTAGTCAAAAGACAGAGAGAGAGAGAAAGAGTTATTCTTGCTCTGGTAGATCCTATTTCTCTTCATGGTTTAGTGAGGTTATTCCCTCTGTTCTATTTTTCAACACAGGCTGCAAGTCCAGCTTGCACGGAGCTGGAGACTGTCATGCTGGATTGGCTAGGGAAGATGATTAATTTGCCTGAAGAGTTTTTAGCTGGGAAGCATAGCCAAGGTGGAGGAGTCATTCAGGTAAGAGGGGACATGAAAAAAGAATACAGAATGAGTTTGTGGACTTTATGATTTTGTAAAACCTTCATACCAAAACACTAATAAAGGAAAGATTTTTTTTTTTTTGCCGCATGGGTTCCTTTCAGATTTTCAGAAAGACTGATGCTCCGTGAGAATGTCCATAGGTGGGTAGGATCATTCATGAAAGTGATGGTTTTGTTTTCAGAGCAGCTGAATTCTGAAACACTCATCTTTCTGAAGAATTGCTAGTAGTCCAACTTAACAGCACAATTTGGGCTTAAAATTCAAATCATTATGTTGAAAAATCATGTAGGATGGAAACTTTAATTTGTTGATCAAGTGAAGTGAGCTCATACTTACCAACAGTGTTGTTGTGGTTTAACCTCAGCCAGCAACTAAGCACCACACAGCCGCTCACTCACTCCCCCCCTGGTGGGATGGGGGAGGGAATCGGAAGGGTAAAAGTGAGAAAACTCGTGGGTTGAGATAAAGACAGTTTAATAAGTAAAAGCCGCACACGCAAGCAAAGCAAAACAAGGAATTAATTCACTCCTTCCCATGGGCAGGCAGGTGTTCGGCCATCTCCAGAAAAGCAGGGCTCCATCACGTGTAATGGCTACTTGGGAAGACAAACGCCATCGCTCTGAACGTCCCCCCCTTCCTTCTTCTTCCTCCAGCTTTATATGCTGAGCATGATGTCACATGGTGTGGAATATCCCTTTGGTCAGCTGGGGTCAGCTGTCCTGGCTGTGTCCCCTCCCAACTTCTTGTGCACCCCCAGCCTCCTCGCTGGTGGGGTGGTGTGAGAAGCAGAAAAGGCCTTGACTCTGTGTAAGCACTGCTCAGCAGTAACAAAAACATTCCGGTATATTATCAACACTGTTTCCAGCACAAATCCAAAATATAGCCCCATACTTGCTACTATGAAGAAAATAAATTAACTCTATCCCAGCCAAAACCAGCACAAGGGTGCAGCAATGTTTCATGGCTGAAAATAGAAAAAAACTTCTCAAATTGAAATATATCTGAGGATTTTGAGTACAGCATCATGAAAAGTGGTTACAAAGGCTTCCATGAAGTCCACCTTAGACATGTTCAATTGTTTACTTCAGTCAGTTTCTAAAACAGCCTTCCTTTTTTTCAGGAAAAAAGTGGATAAGAACATAGGAAAGAATCTTCTACAAGTAGAAATAACAGAATGTAGTAGAAAGTCTATCAGTCTTTGTCAAAGAAGGTGAAATTATTTTAAGAAGTTTTCCTTATATAACAAAATGAAATACCGGAATATTAAAATAAAATGAAGAGCTGCTTAAAATATGAACCTAAACACTTCTATCAGTAGATAATATAATTTTCAGACTACACTGCATAGAACAAAACCCCCAAACTTTGACATTGACTGCTTAGAATCAAGGAATCATAGAATCATTAAGGTTGGAAGAGACCTCCAAGATCATCGAGTCCAACCGTCAACCCAACACCACCATGCCCACTAAACCATGTCCCTAAGCGCCTCATCTACCCGTCTTTTAAATACTTCCAGGGAT